TAGTGCTCTGATACCAATTTGTCACGACCCGAAATTCTCACTCTCGAGACCGTGATGACACCTAACCTTTCACTTGCTAGGCAAGCCAACGTTAGAAATAGTTTCTAGCCATTTTAACAAATCCAATTAAACGATACAAAGAAACCGAATAAAACTGAAATAAAACTGAATAAACCAAGATAACAGCGATGTCTAGATACAATCCCAGAACTGGTTTCACAAGTTCACGAGCGACTAGAGTATACAAATAAAAGCCTGAATGAAAGCATAAATGTCTGAAATACAGTAAACAGCTAGAGAGATATGAAAGGGGACTTCAGGGTTGCGAACGCCGAGCAGCTGTACCTTAAGTCTCCGTTAGGAAATCAATCCAAGCAATCTACTGACCGCCGCTAGGACCGACTCTAAAATCTGCACAAGAAGCACAGAGTGTAGTATGAGTACAACCGACCCCATGTACTATAGAAGTGCCGAACCTAACCTCAACGAAGTAGTGACGAGGTTAAGGCGGGTCACTTACAATAACCTATATGCAGTATAATAATAATAATAATAATAATAATAATAATAATAATAATAATAATAATAATAGGAAAGGAAAACGAGAAATAACAGCGAAGCAGTAAACTAATGAAAATAACTCAATCCTCGAAATCAATGAACCTAGAAATATCATCCCTTAGAAGCTCATATGAAAGGACTAGAAGCTAACACAATACAATAATGAATACATCACACACAATCCGTTGTGATGTGCAACCCGATCCCACCGTACAAATACAATCATCCCTTATTTCACCATATCAATATCAAGAAAAATATGTAAAATCCGTTGCGGTGCGCAAATTGATCCCACCATATAATCAGAATCAATATCATAATCCTCCCTTATTTCACCATATCAAAATCACATATAAAATCTGTTGCGGCGTGCAACCCGAACCGTAAACAAAATCAATAAGGGTAATCAATTCAACAACTCAATTTATAAGAATCTCTACGATTAAGGAATATGAAAGCAAAACAATAAGGAACCCCGTACCAAATCAAAGAATGCTACGATTGATACAAAGCAATAAGACAAGCCAAATATATGACAATTAAAGTGTACAAATAAGATATTTAAGGCAAGTAGCAATTAATCATGGAATCATAGAAGAAACGAACATTTTAATACAAGAGTAATAAGTGATAAGTAACAAGTTCAAGCATAGGAAGCAATTAAAGCATGTAACAGTTAAGATAAAATAATTAATGAAATACAGGAAAGCATAAAAACAATTACTTAGACGGCGTATATACACTCGCCACCTCGCATATACGCCATTACACATGTAATTCACATAACATGTAGTTCAGGGGTTCCTAATTCCCTCAAATCAAGGTTAGACCCAACACTTACCTCGCTCCGCAAGCAAATTAAAGCTCAACCGGAGCCTTTCCTCTAAAATTTGCCTCCGAACCAACCGAATCTAACCAAAATTGACTTAGTATCAACAATCAATGCTAGGGAAATCAATTACAATACATAAAGTTAAGATCTTTACACTTTTTTTAGTATTCAACAAAAGTCAACCCCAGGCTCGCTTGGTCAAAACTCGAGATTCGGACCAAAACCCGATTACCCATTCACCCCCGAGCCCGATTATATGATTAGTTTCGAAATCCGACCTCAATTTGAGGTCTAAATTCCAATTTTACAAAAACCCCCAATACTACCCAAATCCCTAACTTTTACCATAAAAATCCTAGATTTAATGTTGAAAATATTTGGAAAGTAATGGGTAATTGAAAAAAAATAGATTAAAGTTTCTTACCAATATTTTTAAGAAGAAAATCCTCTTAGAAAATCGCCTCTAGGGTGCTTAGGGTTGAGAGTTTGTGAGAAATGAGCTAAATCCCATCTTCTGAGCTTTTTGTCCAGGTGAAAATATTGCAAATGCGACATGGGGTTCACAATTGCGAACCTCGCAAATGCGAGAAATCCATCACAAATGCGAAGAAACCTACATCTCTGCTGTCATCGCAACTGTGATGATTTGTTCGCAAATGCGAACATTGAACTTCGCAAAAGCGATCAATTGATCGCAATTGCGATCTCTACTGTTTCTAGACCCTATTCGCAATTGCCAACAAAATGTTCGCAAATGCAATCATGACAGACTTGGCAAGAAGTCGCAAATGCGATCCCCCACCTTGCAATTGCGAGGTTTGCAGACCACACCAGCAACAGAGGGTCATCATCTGTTCTTCTAAGTCCAAAATCACTCTGTAGCCTATCCGAAACTTACTCGAGCCCTCGAGCTCCAAATCAAACATGCATATAAGTTTAATAACATCTTACAAACTTGCTCGCACGATCAAAATATCAAAATAACACCTAGAACTTCGAATCACACATCAAAATGAATGATATTTTCAAAGAAACTCAAGAACATGCAACTTTACAACCTGACGTTCGAATCACGTCAAATCAACTCCGTTTTGCACCAAATTTTTCAAACAAGTCATTAATACTGAAATGAACATATTCTAAGTTTTGGAACCGAAATCCGAACTCGGTTGCAACAAAGTCAACCTACGGTCAAACTTGGGAATTCTTTTAGACTTCAAATTACCAGTTTTCAACCAAATTACGTTAAATTAAATTAGGGACATCCGAATTTGATTTGGGGCATACTCATAAGTTCCAATCACGATACGGACCCACTGGAACCGTCAAAATACCGATCCGGATCCGTCTACATAAAATAATGACCGTAGTTAACTCAAATGAGTTGTAAAATAAAATTTCACATTTTCATCAATGTTTCACATAAAAATTTTCCGAAAAAGGACACGGACTGTGCACGTAAATCAAGAAAGGCTAAACGGAGCTATTCGAGGTCTCTGAGCACAGAAATGAAGGGTAAAACTATAAATGACCTATCAGGTCATCACAGAAAAGAAAGTGAAAAATTTATAATAGAAAAATTTCTCGCTTTACCAATTTTGGTCTGATGATCCACAAAATCTTGAGTTTTCGAGAGAAGGGAGTAATTTTTTTTTTTATCGTAAAGGCTTTTGAGAATTCGATGAGGAAGTTAAAAAAATATAAAAAAAATAAATGTGGGTATAATATAAGTATGGGAAAAAACGTTTATCTCAAAAAAGCTTTTATTTAAACCTAAAAATAATTCGTATTCCCTATAATATGCTAACATTAAGTATCAATAATGGTAGCAAAAAATTTCTTTCCTTTTTCTCATTTAAAGAAATTGTACTTTTTACATTAAATTTTAAAATTTGTTTTTTTAAATAAATTCATAAATCTTTTGCTAATGAAATTGAGACCTCCAAATTTATGGGGCCTAAAGCACTTATCTTACCGCCTTGGCGTTCAGCCGGTTTTGTTTACAATCAACGAGGAAAGGGGACACATCAACCAAAAAGAAGAGCCAAAATCTGAATTAAAAAAATAAAATAAAAATAACACTCCCCCTTCCCCTCTCTTCTTGTTGCCTCTCTTCCACCCCTTTCCATCATCTTCTCCTCTACAACCTCTTCCATTTTCGTTGTCTTCTCCATCACACCCCGTTCTCATCTTCTTACAATAATTTCTCCCTCCCCTATTTTATTGTCTTCTCTACCACATAAATCTTGACAAGGCAGAAAAAAGCATCGATTTTCTCTACAGAGTTATATATTATAGTCTTCTACATTCTGAGCAACAATGCCAACAATGCATCCCCTATCCAAAGAAAAACGTACCAAAAGCTATTATGGAAATAGCTTTATAGATTTTTATACTATTGGGTTACCAAAAGATATCTATAGGTAATCCTTCATAAAATATATGCGCGATTAAAAATACTGAAATTTTTTTCTTACACGATTAGTGTAGTTTTACCTATTATATAAGAGTGCTTTCCATTTTCTCAATGTTACCAAATGTATAGAGAAGAACCCGCAATTTCCTTTCAGGGGCGGCTCCAAGGCTTTGGGTAGTGAGGCCATTACCTTAGGCCCCCAAATTTTGAAGGTCCCAAATTTATTTTAAATTCTTATTATTATTGTTACTATTATATATTATATAATTTATAAAAATAATTAGAATTAAAAAAAGTGTTACAGTACATTTTTTGTTACTTGATTGAGGTTATTTTATATAATAAATTTATAAATTATGATAATTTTCTTCCCTCATTAATTAGTATATTTGACAAGGGTGGGTTGCTCTATTGGTGAGCACCCTCCACTTCCAACCAAGAGGTTGTGAGTTCGAGTCACCCCAAGAGTAAGGTGGGGAGTTCTTGGAGGGAGGGAGCCGAGGGACTATCGGAAACAACCTCTCTACTCCAGGGTAGGGGTAAGGTCTGCATACAAACTACTCTCCCTAGATCCCACTATTGAGATTATGCTGGGATTAAGGGCCTCCGAATATGATTTCGCCTTAGGCCCCGAGATCTGTTGAGCCGCCCCTGTTGCCTTTATTAAGTGACCCAATGATAAATCTTTTTACACCGACAATATATAAAATTTATACTCTAGAAATAAGGCAAATTACATATTATAGCATGTAAATATAATTTAATAGTGTAGAAGTTCTTTACACCATTGGTGATTATTACTCTCTCCGTTCACTTTTACTTGGCATGTATACTAAAAATAGATTTTTATTTTTACTTGTCACTTTACGCATATCAAGAGAAGACAAAAAAAAATTTCTGTTATACCCACAATATTTATTGCTAATTTTAAATTATTTTTTCAAATCCAATAAAATATGCATCAATTAATATAAATATCATGGTAAATTATGTACTTTATTTATTATTTCTTAAGGAACGTAAAAAGTCAAAACGTATCAAGTAAAACTGAAAGGACGAACTAGTTAAATTCTACTTAGAATGGATATCCATGTGGATTCTTAGCGCTACATAGACCACCCGACATGGTATTAGTATAAAAAATCGGGAGAGTTTTGGCTTCTTTAATTAAGTCACATATTTGAGTATTGAGCCATTATAAAAGCAGCTAAAGTTAGTTAAAGCAATATCTATGCATCATAAGCTTCCTTTTCTTTCCTTAGTGTTCAATGGAGATTTTTTACTCATCCTCTCTTTCCAATTACTTAGTTTCATTGCTTCTCTTTTTGTCCTCCCTTGTTATTCTAGTTAGACAATGGAGTCGAAACAGAAAACAAAGGTTGCCACCAGGTCCATGGAGATTTCCCATTATTGGAAGTTTGCATCACTTGATGGGAAGAGAAGTTCCACATCGCACTCTTAGAAGTTTAGCACAAAAATATGGACCTCTTATGTACTTGCAACTTGGGCAAGCTCCTACTGTAATCATATCATCACCTAGTATGGCTAAACAAGTTCTAAAAACTCACGATCTCGCCTTTGCTAATAGGGCACAACTTACATCCTCAAACATCATATTTTACAACAATAAAGACATCGTATTTAGCCAATATAGTGACTACTGGAGACAAATGCGTAAAATTTGCATTCTAGAACTCCTAAGTACGAAGATGGTCAAGTCATTTAGTGCAATTCGACAAGATGAGCTTTCAAGCCTCATCTCATCAATTCGTTCAATGAGGGGTTCTCCAGTCAACTTAACAGAAAAAATATTTCAGTTAACCAACTCTATTACTGGTAGAGCAGCCTTCGGTAATGTATTCAAAGATCGACACGAGTTTATGAAATTGATGAAGGAAGTACTCGAATTAGCAGGAGGATTTGATGTGGCTGATTTGTTTCCTTCTTGGAAGTTACTTCACAAAATGAGCGGTGTGAAATCTAGATTGGTGAATGCACATCGTAAGGTTGATGAAATCATGGAGGACATCTTAAATGAGCATATTGAAAATAAAGCAGCTGGGAACAAGGGAATTGGTGAGTTCGGAGGTGAAGACTTGGTTGATGTTTTCCTAAGAATTAAAGAGAACGCTGAACTTCAATTTCCAATCACAAATGACAACATAAAAGCAGTGATTTTCGTAAGTTTGCTCCCATATTCTCATATCTTTGGTAACCCTGCCTTTCTATTCTTTTCTTCTTTTTCTTAATATAACTAGTTACTACTACTAGTGTTGTAAAAGGTGCCAGCATAAAAAGAAGTGTTTTACTTGACATGGAGCGACCTGTAATCCCCGTGGCTCGTTGCGCAAGCCCCATAATTTTTTAATTTAATTATTTTATTAATTAATAAAATAAGAATATAAATCACAAAAATAAAATTAAATAGAAATCACAGAAAATTATAATACTAATTGTTACAGGTCAATTGGTTATTCTTCCATGCTCAACATAAAAAATGCAAAGATGATCGTTAATCAAATCATCAAATGTATGTTGCTAAATCAAATATATAAGTGCATTGACTTTATTTATTTGTTTGTCGATGTAGGACATTTTTCTTGCTGGAAGTGAAACTTCATCAACAGCTATTATTTGGGCATTGTCAGAAATGATTAAGAACCCAAATATTATGGCCAAGGCTCAAAGTGAAGTAAGACAAGTCTTTAAGGGAAAGAAAAAGTATGATGAAGAAGATCTTGAAAAATTGACATACCTAAACTTAGTGATTAAGGAGACACTAAGGCTACATCCTTCGGTTTCTCTTCTACCACCAAGGGAATGTAGGGAGCAAACAGATATTGATGGATACACTATACCACTTAAGACAAGAATAATTGTCAATGCATGGGCACTTGGGAGAGATCCTGAAAGTTGGCATGATCCTGAAAGTTTTATACCAGAGAGATTTAAGAACTCTTCTATCAAATTTACGGGAAATCACTTTGAGTTTATTCCATTTGGTGCAGGAAGAAGGATGTGTCCAGGAATACAATTTGGTTTAGTTAATGTTGGACTTCCACTGGCCCAATTGCTCCAACACTTTGAATGGGAACTTCCACATGAAACTAATTCACAAGATCTGGATATGACTGAAACACGTGGATTAAGTGCAGCAAAACAGAAAGACTTATATTTAGTTGCCACAAATTATAAAAATGATGCAGAATTTTAGTGTTTTCATTGGAACGGTGAAATGTCAGCAGGGCCTCTGCAATTCCTCATCTTGTTTTCGCTTTATTTATGTATGTGTATCCATTTGTATCTTCGAAGAACGCCATAAATATTGTTGGATATTAAAAAAAATTAATTAATATTCTTATATTATCTAGGATGTAATATTTACTAGTTTATTTAATTCATGTTTAATTAGGATTTACAGTCAAAAATCATATAGGAATAAGTTTTCTTATTCTAGTCAAATTTGATTTGTAATATTATAAATAGCGGTGCTGCTACATATTTTCTAAGGTTGAGAGGTAGCTATATTGTATAGAGATTAAAGAGTTTATGAGTGAATAAAAAAGCCTCCTGTCACGTCCTCTCTCTAGTTTGATAAATTTTTAGTCTTTAGAAATTTTCAATTGTGCCTAAATTATTCTTGTGGTATTAAAATCATTTAAATTGGTATCAGGCTTATGTGAGATTCTAATCAGAGCATGTGCGAGATTTTATAAAATGTTTAAAAAAAATATGGATACTCCATATTTACCTAATTGTCACGTTTTTGTGTTTGATGGCAAGAGTTTGAAGCTTGGTATCAACATATGATTACTTTCTTTTAAAGCTATTAGATTGTGGGATATTATTGATAAAGGATTTGTGGAACTCCTTGAGTGTATAGCATTGACAGCTGAAGCGTTTAAAGAATTGAAAAATATAGGAAATTAGATTTTTAAGGCATGCCATTATCTCAACATCAAGGTTGAATTGTATTTATATATCGGAGTTTTAGATTTGAGAAAGTAAAAACTGCAGGAATTTAGGGGAGATAATTTGAGTTGGCTCAAATGAGACCAACATAGTCTGTCAAAGAAGTTATTACAATAATTAAACAAATCGGCAATGCAAAGATCAATGGAGCGCTAGTGGGAGAAGTTATTGTTGTTAAAATGATACTGCAGTTTCTAAGTTTAAAATTTTATACCAAAAAGACGATTTTTGAGTTGACCAAGATAGTAACACTTTTAACACTTGATGAATTAGAAGGTGAACGGGTGAGAAATTTCTAAATCAATAGAGAGATGAGACAGTAGAGGAAGACATTGCAAAAGATAATTAACCCAAAAAACAAAGACACATCAAATGTGGTGAAAATAAATCAAGCTAAGAAGGCTAGAATTCAAAAATCGAGGAAAAAAGAAGCGAAGGTAGAGGTAATTTTTTGCCATGGTATAGACACCATTAAATGCAGAGTGGAGTCAAATAATATCCAAATTAGTTTGCCAATATTTTCTGAGGTGACTATAAATGATGATTTGATTGCAATCGGTGCATCTCTGAAAAAGGACAGTGTTTCACGAGAAACGTTATTTGATCGTCAAACTAAATCTAGTGATGAAAGAAGCATGAGATATAACGACCCTACAAGTAAGTTTTGATTTCTAGATCCTCGTTTCCTTAAATAAAACTCCCCGTACGTACTTTTACTGTTTTATAACTTGCGGGGATGATTAGTTCGAGTTTGGAAGGGTTCAGGTTGAAATTGGAACACTTAGTTCCTTAACATTGGCCTAGGGAGGCCAAATTTGACTTGAGTCAACATTTTGAGTAAATGACCTCGACACCGGGATTTGAAGATTCCAATAGGTTCGTATGACGATTTCAAACCTGAGCGTGTGTTCGGCTCGAGTTTCGGGTAACCCGGGAGCATTTCGGCGCTCAATGTGGGAAGTTGGTTAATTGAAATTTTTCTAGTTCTTTAAATTTGGTTTGGAGTAAACTTTGGTGTTATCGAGGTCCGTTTGGGATTTCGAGCTTAGGAATAGTTCTGTGTGGGAATTTATGACTTGAACGCAAAATTTGACGTCATTCCGAGTTGATTTAATAGGAATCGGACGCGCGGAAGTATTTTTGGTAGTTTTTGAGTTTCATGTTGAATTCATGCATTTTGGCGTCTGATTCCTGATTGTAGATGTCATTTTGGTGTTTCGATCGCACGAGCGAGTCCGTATTATGTTGTTGGATGTGTTAATGTAATTAGATGGGGACTCGGGGGGGAGAGGGGGCTCGGGTGCGAATCGGATAATTTCGGACTTTGGTTGAGTTGCTGGACCTGCTGCTGTGTTGGTATCATAGCACATGCGGAGGGTTTGGCCGCATGTGCAAAAGAAGTGAATGCAGAAGCGGCCTGGAGTGGGTTGAGCAGTGAACGCATATGCGAGGAAAGTGGTCGCAGATGCGGACGAGGCCAGGAAAGCCTAGGATCGGAGGAGCGTAGGTCCATCTGCAGGCGCGAGTGCGCAGATGCAGGCAGTTTTCGCAGAAGCGGATGTGTAGGTCCGCATGATTCTCCGCAGATGCGGACTTGCCCAACCTTAGTGAGAACCGCACATGCGATGGATTTTTCCGCAGGTGCGACCCTAGGTCCGCAGAAGAGGAAATCGCTGGGCAATGATGACTTTTAATCCGAGACTTAGGCCTTTTTCCTCACACTTTAATTTGGTTTTGGGTGATTTTGAGAGCACTTTTGAGGAGGAATCTCATCTACAATACAAGGTAAGTAAACTCCACCTATTTTAAAGTTAAATATGCGGATTCCATGATATGTTTATGCGTAGCTATATTCCATGATATGTCCGGGTAGACTTAGATCCACATCATACCTTAATTGTACCATTGTGTTTATTACGCATATTAATTGTTTTGAGTAGAGTTGAGGCTAGGGATTTTAAAGTTTGCAAATTTTATATTTAGATTTCTTATTTATGGGAAGAGTTGAGGAAATACATAATAACTCTAAGCAAGTACTTCCGCGAGCGAGGTATACTTCTCTACTCTCATGGGAGCGAGGGCGTTCTCCTCGGCAATATAATAGATGCATCTATGGTTCGTGCTATTCGACCCTCGGCAATGTACATAGTATTTTAGATCGGGTCGTACGACCTCAGCATAAATTGTGCGTGATAATACTCGGAGCCCGATTACACTTGATATTATTTTATGGCTTGAGAAGTTATAATCTATTTAATGACCGAAATTGCTTTGGCACTAGTAAGTGCTAGTTGGAGGCTCTGAAATTTACTATCAGTTAAAGAATCATTTATTCACTGCTTGTTATCATGTTATTATTATTATTCATATATTCCATGCCTATTTAAAATTTTTGTATTTTATTTGTTGACCCATAGTAAGTATCGATGTCGACCCCTCGTCACTACTTCTTCGAGGTTAAATTGGATAATTACTGGGTACATGTCATTTATATACTCATGCTACACTTCTGCACTAATCATGCAGGATCTGAGGTAGGTGCATCTGGTATCCATTCAGGCGCGCACCCCCGTTATCCGGAGGCTTAGTGGTGAGCTACTCCTTGAGTCCATTCTGTAGCACCCATAGTCTCTCTCTTTTGTATTTGTTTTCCGTCCATCTCACTTTCAGACAACAGCTTAGGTGTTTTGTATATTCTACTAGTTGCTCATACACTGGTGGCACCGGGTCTTGGGAACATGTTAGTAGACAATTTATGACTTTTGAGTATTTATCTCATCATACTTGCTCTTTTATTAGTTTACGCTTTACTTTATTAAATTTTCCAGTTTTTTTATTTACATAATAAATCTAAATCAATTACTTTGAACTTATTAAAAGGAATAAATATGTGGATAGTTCACCGTTGGCTTGCCTAGCGACGACGTTGGACGCCATCACAACCTGTAGGAGAAATTGGGTCGTGACATGAGGGTTCAACAAGAGAAAGGTTTTGTTGATCAATCCAAAATTAAGAAGAAAGAGTTAAGGATTTATAATCACTATTGAAGTGAATTGTTTGTAAAAGATGGCTGATTTATCACTATTGCATCAATAAGAATGTTGAAGATGCAATTAATTTCGAGGCATTTATATTAAAGAGATTGTATGTTTTTAGAAACATGACAAATTGTCTGTCAAAGATTGTTGATTAATCTATATCCTGCAAAAAGGCCAATTGGAGTTTTTTTTTGGTAAACTGGATAATTATATGAATACAACAAAAATAGTTATACCATTATTTGAGAGATTTTTCATTTTGATTTGTTTTGCATTACATTGGGATTATCCCTGATGTTACGTACAAAAACAATTCTTAGGATGTCTTCCCACAGGGCCTTGTTTACAAACATCGGAGGAACTGCCAAAATATATGTCTTTCCAAACATTTTCTTTGCTGCTCCTTCCTTTGCGAGGAGATCTGCTACTTGGTTCAACTCTTTGCAATTATGTTCTAGTGATGGATTCCCTAATTGCTCTATTAGTGACTTGCATTTAAAGATAATAGAGTTATAGTGGAGGTTTCCCTCATTTATCATCCTTACAACTTGTTCAGAGTCACTAAAAATTTGTAGAGGTGTGAAGTTGTGGTCAAGGGCTATTTTGAGACCTTGCCAGAGGGCATGACGTTCAACCTCTATATTGGTGGTATGTGGTAAATCCCTTATGTATCCTAGCACCCAATCACCCCTGTTGTTCCTGAAGACTCCCCCAGCCCCTCCTACTTCTATTTTATGGCAAGCAGCCCCATCTGTGTTTAGCTTATGGGATCCATTAGGTGGAGGCTCTCATGTAATATGTATTGCAGTGCTTTCCCCTTGTCCCTGTGGTAGACATCAACATGATAGTGCTCAATATTTCTAGCAATGGTTTGGGGAACATGGGTGAAGTTTTTCTTTTTGTCAAAGACATAATTTGTCACGCCTCAAACTTGGGGAGCGCGACCAGCACTCAACCGAGAGAACCCGGCCGAGCAAGCCTGTTAGATTACCGTCTACCCAAACTCCTCCATGAATAAAGAGGATATGCACTCCATTAATCAACACTGAAAAGATTTCATTAATAACTTCCATTTCATTCCCATTAGCAGCTTCATTCATAATTTCCAAAATATTACGAGTTTATAGAATTAATGAAAAACATGATTTCCAAATACAACCATTTCTAGTTCAATTCCTCAACATCAAACACAAACCCACAACCTGTTTACGGAGCCTCTAAGTAGAATGGAAGAGTAATATGAAAATATCGGCAACAAGGCCCCGGCTATACCTCAAAATACAGTACATGAGAAACAAAAGATACATGACCCCGAAATGAAGTGGGGCTCACCAAATCAACTGAAAAGAGTGTACTGCTATCACTGATCAATATCGCCTGCTGTAGAACCACCTGCATCCAATAAAGATGCAGCGCCCCCGGCAAAAAGGGACATTAGCACTATCGAATAGCACTAGTATGTATAGAAAAAAGTCCTCTTCCAAAATAGAATGCCCATATAAGAAAAGGCAACACATAGACACAGCAAGTCACAATCAACAATATCCAAATGTCTAGTTAAAATA